CAAAACAACAGTTTTTTCAATCCCAATAACTCAAGAAAGTTTTGATGATGACAATCATAAGCAACCTGGACCAATGATCCATTGCATTTAATTATCAAGAGAGCAAAAATTCTTCACCTTTAAAACATGTTATTCATCTGATATATTCATTCCTAATGATAATGAAATTTCGTGACAAGTAGTAAATGTTGAATTTATTGTATTTATTTTCAGCTTTTTGATCTACTCAGAGATCATTTTCAAAAAAATAGAATTTTTTTACTTAATTATATTTTTCACGGATTCATGTCTCAATACCACTAAAGTAAAAACTGAAATATAAATATCAAGAAAAAGAACAAAATAATCATAATCATAGTAATATAGTAGCAAATAGTGAATTAATTGAATTTATAAAAAGTAAAGCTCTAATAATTGAAAACAATCTGCAAGGAGATCGAAATGTTGAGAATAAAAATAATAAATTCAAAATTCACTATTTATCACTTCATTTTAGTATGATTATTATTATTTCATTCTTTTGGTGATATTTATGTGCGATATATTTTGTTGGATGTAGTAGAAACAAACAGAAAAACGCAGGTGAAAGTATTTGTCTATATTTATACACTAGACATTTGCGTTACAATGTTTACACTTCTAAATAAATCGCTCATATCTTCAATATATTTTTTGATTACAAGTGCGTTTTTTTTCTCGGTGTGGATGTGTAGAAAAAAAAGAACGGCATATAAACCTATGTGACTGCGCATATTGACTCAATATGTTATTTTTCTATGCGTATATTCATTTTCATATAATAACCAGTGAGGCAGAACATAGATTCTCTCATTTGAATACACGCTCTTTCATTTGACTATACACTCTCGTAAACCTGAAGTTGTTTTTCATTCTTATCTGGTTGGCCTGTATTGCTCCTTTCATTTCGGCTATTATCTGCTATTATGGAGCATCAGATAGTTCCAATCCTATAACAACAATAGACACGAATAATATATCAAACGCATGTGGTAACGATACATGCGTGTGCACAAGTATGCAATTTGTCTGCTCTAGTGGTAATGATGCCTGTACGTCACAGCAACAACAAGCACAAACGCAAAAATCAATGTGGATGGCGATCCCAAATACGACGTGTCAGCAGATGTTAAACGCGTCAAGCAATTTTATTTCTTTAACGTGCTGCTATACGGATTATTGTAACAATCAGAACTTGAATACAACTGTTGGCAGCAGTACTACTCCTGGTACTAACAATACAGCTGTTAATATCAAACTTAATTTTTATTTTAATATAATATTTATTGCGTTTTTTTTTTGCTTTTTCAATAAATATTTGGCATGCATTTAATTGATAAATAAAAAAATACTGAAAGATCAATAAAATAATATGACCATTAAATAAATGAAAAATGATAAATACATAAAACTTGAATTACCAATAATTTATTTAATTTAACAAATAAAAAAAAAGATTTTTCACAATAATTTATTATTTTTGACAAATATAAAAATAAATTTTGACAATTATAATATTAATTATTGATAAATAATCAAGCACAAATAATTAAAATTATTTTGTTATTAAAGCATTAATGACCTTTCTAGGATAACCACGCTTTCTTTTGAGTTATATTTAATTGAGCAATAAAATAATTTAAATGAGCAATAATGAAATGTAGCAATAAATATTCTGAATGGACAATAATTATATTGAATAAACGATAACTATACTGATTGAGCAATAGTTTATTTAAATTAAAGGTAAGTTTGATATAAAAAGGGCAATATCGATTCATTGTGTTATGGCACATTTTCAAAGATGTGCTGTAAGAGAGAATTATGTTATACTATACATGTGTGTGTTCGTTCTTTTTCTTTATTTCTATACATATATATCGATGTCTTTCGTTCTCTTTCTTTCTGTCAGGTAGGGAGCTGCATCGGTTTTTCTGGACCCCACCAAAGAATCGTGAGCCATTCTACCATATTGAATACTGAACTATTATTCAAATACACATTTTGTAGCGCAATATTTCTTCTCTCAGACTATTTGATTAAAACTGTACAAGAGCTATTCAAAGCCGAAAGTTTTTAAATAAAAAAGTCCGGGCCTATACTTGGACTCCATCAGACCTAGGGTGTGGGTGTGGATGTGGATGTGGTGTGTGAGTGGGTGTGGCTGTGAGTGCAGGTGTCGGTGTAGGCTGTGGTGGCCATTAAGAGAAGATTAACACCCACACCAACCCTTTAACAACTTTATAAGGATGAATCAAAGAGATTCCTTCAAACAACTGTACAGAAAGGAAAATATTTATTTTCTACATATTGGATTTTAAAATGTTGATAAAGTAAGACGCGTATTGTATCAATGATATCATCAAGGATGAACGATTTAAAGCGATTATTGGATACTGGGCTCAACTCGACTTCAACAATTAAAATCTCGGCATCGCGAAATACTGTTACAAAAGCAAGTAAGTCCAAGTTCTTTTTGACATTTCGCTGGGTGTGGGGGGGGGGGTGTGGGTGTGGGTGTGGGTGTGGGTGTGGGTGTGGGTGTGGGTGTGGGTGGGCGTGAGTGTGGGTGTAGGTGTGGATGTAGAGAATTATTCGTACCCCACACTCTCACCCGCACACCCACACGTACACCCACACTCGCATCCACACCCACATCCATACCCACACCTACACCCACACTCACACCCGCATCCACACCTACACCCAGCCACGCACACCGACACCCACACTCACACACCCATACTCCACACACTCATACCCACACATACACCCACATCCACCCGCACGCACACCCACACCCCTAGTTTTACAAAGATAATAATATACAAATACATCGTATAACAGAAGATCAACTATTTCAGTTATTTTCCTCAATTAATCCGGCATATGAAATACTAATAATCGGATTTACCATTATTTATATTATTTTTTATAATATTTATCAGTTGATCGAATGCCCAATTGAAAATCTTTAATTAAATATTCTATTTATTCAATTGAGATGGTTTTTAATTGTTTTGTTGGTGATTATAGATTGTTCCCTATCATTTTACTATACAAATATATTTGGGCTCTTCTGGTTTTATACAGGGCTAAGTCAATGGAGTAATATAATTGAGATATAGTTCGACACTAATGAATCATTAAATTTACGTTTGGCTTGTTTAATAGTTACTTATTTCGTAGATTACTTAAAAACATTAAGAAACAATTTGTTTCGACAGAAGTCTGGTTCTAATGAAAACCAACACACACCTGTAATGGATACAATGACTACAATCGTGCAAAATCAAAGTAGTGATTTAGAAAAAGAACAAAAAGAAGAACAAGAAGAAACAGAAAAAGAAAAGTACAAGCGAATAGTTCTCGATTTATATGAAAAAGGTGGAAAAACGCCAAAAATCCACTTAGTCAGTGATAATAAAAACATTCAACCAGAAGATGTTTTTGTAGGTTTCGTTGGTCTTACAGGACGGGCGAAAAAGTCAGCTGTTAAGATGTTTAACGGGTAATCAAGCATTCAAATCTGGCAATCGACCAACCACATATATGGCTATTGGTACATTGTGTAAATATAATAATGATCGATATTGGATAATTGATACACCGGTAAGAATTTTTCGCATTGCTTTATTTTAATATGAACCATTTTTTGATTATATAAGGGTAACTCACAAGCAATAGAACCAGAAAAAATTTATTACTATAAACAATAGATGGATCCCAATTATGATAGATTATCAGATCATCGTCTAAAAGAAGAAAATGGATACAAATATAAAGAAGTACAACTAACAAAAGAGATTGTAGCCAAATATAATAATGGTTTAAAAACAAAAACTTCATTTATGCGTATTTGTTTTTGATAATCATATTGATCAACTATTAAAAGACTACAGAGGTGAGCAAGTATGGACTTTTTCGAGTACGAGTACGAGTACCAGTTTCTCGAATACGGGTACGAGTACAGACGTATAAAGGCGCAAAAACGGATTTCGAAAGCGGTTGCAGACAACATATGGCACATTTACGTTAACAGCAGAGTATTGAAACAATTAATAATCAAAAAGTTTTTTTTTAACTACCTTTTATTATCAAATTTCAAGAAGAAAAATTATAATAGAAATTTATTACACTTTAAGATAGAAAGTAAACAAACATTTTTGCCAGTTAATTTTTGCTCGATGTGGATGTATGACAACGTCAGATTGAGAAAAAACACGTTCTATCGGAGCAATTGTTACCGATACTGACAAATATTTCAATCCAAGTTGATATAAACATGGATACAGATGTTTTTTCGCAAAAAGTAAATCTTCTTTACGATTTTTTTCAAATAAAAAACCATCAAGTGCAAGTAAAACGTTTGTTTAATCATCAGATGAAATCTTTTGTGTATCATTTAAATAAGGAAATAGACATTTTCATTTGTGGGAAGAATCAGTTTTCTTCGGCAGAGTATCAGCACCAGCTTGTTCAGTTGTGTTTGATAAGTCAGCACCGGTATTCTTTGATAACTGATAAGTCAATTTAGAAAAAAAAAACAAACAAAAGCACTACAAATTTTCTTAAGAACACGCGCTTTAGCATCAGTATGAGGAGTATTATGTCACAGTAATTGAAAACAACCATCAAGGAGTGGAAAAATAAGAAAGATCACATCCGAAAAACGTTCTGACATAGAGTACCAATCGAAAGGTACATCAATTTCAAAATGACGAAGAAGCCACTAAATCGAGATTTAGTTGAAGAAATAAGAGCTTTACATAGAGAAGCAAGAATTAAAGTAGAAGAAGATAGCTCACGTTCGAGATCAAATAAAATACCAAGAACAGTAGGTGCAATTAGACTAATAGTAGCATAAGATTCACTTTGTGTTAATACAGTAGCTTCATCAAATAACTCAAATAAGAAACAAATTCTTTTAAAATATTCCTGTCTCGAGTATTAAGTAAAAGATCATTTTTCTTCAAATCAATCAGAATTGAATTCAGATATATGATATTACTAGTGTAAAGAGGTAAGAGAATGAACAAAGAGGATAACGAAAATACGACATGGCAACTGTCGTCATACAAGTTTGTATCACACATATGTAAGGATTTATAAAATGGACAGAAAAAGTCATACACTGTTCAGTACAACCTTAGAGAATATAAAATCACACTAGTTTTTAAAAAATATAATTCATCTAAAATCTCGAGTATCTGATTCTCGAGTACGAGTACGAGTATTTCGAGTATTTTGCTCACCTCTGGAAGACTATTATAATGATTATATAATAGAGACATTTAGGAAGATGATCTCGTATTATATTTGCTCGAACAAAATGGGATTCTATGTATATTCAGTCAATTGAATCATGAAAACAACTTGAAGATAGTGAACGTAAACTATTGATTGAGACTTTTGAATTAGATTCTGATCGAGTTCAAATTGTATTTACAGCGGGTCTTATTGATGATGAACCTGATAATGATCCAGATACAATCAGAAGTATTTGTGCAAAAGGATTTAATATTGCAAATTTAAAAACAATAATTGATGAAACAATGAATGATCATTGGGAAAATATTCACCTAGAACAACAAGCAATCGAACAAGATTTGCCATTACGTCTGTCAGAATTAAAAGAGGGTGATTATATTTTATACTTTCCCCCATAGGACATAAGAACTCCTTATTCAGTATTGATTGCATCAAATCAAAATGATCATATTTAAGTTTATGTGCGTACAGCAAAATTTATTTATAATATACGCCCAGAATATTCTGATGGAACCGAATATCATTATTTTTCATTTGATGATTTTCGACGATTTACATTCAATAAAATTGGTGAGACAGTGCCGGATGATTTTGTAAAGGATTCCAGAGAATATCCACTTCTACTGATTCGACAATTATATAAAAATTCAACAAAAGCAGAAAAAGCTCGAACATATGCAATTGAAACAAAATTTCCAGAGTTGACAACAAAACCTTGCAATATTAATAGTGATAATCTTGGTAAAACATTAGAACGAGCAAAATGGGTCATTAGAAATCCAAATGATACTGACAATGTCCCGTTTAAAGTTGATTCAAGTTGTGATTTCGTTTATTTGTGTAAAACTGGTCAACAATCACCATTAGATAATTTTTGGACAACATATAATTTAAATTCTATATTAGAATTGACTGATTACAGCGAAAGAGCATTGAGTTATTTTACACACTCAAGCGTTAATGGTGCAACTCAATCGGTATGTCGTACTGTAGGAAAATATCCAATAGTCGATGTGGTTATATGTGCAGTTAATTGCTAGCAAGAACCGCACAATAAATATCATCGTATAAGTAAAACTATTACAGAAGGTATTATTTCATCTGTAATATGCTTTGCAGCTCCATTACTACTCACACCCACACCCACACCCTGCCATCCACACAGCGTGTGATGACTTTCAACCAATCTGTTGATGATAAAACCATGACTCTTCACCAGTTATTACATCACATAAACGTCGTGTTCCTTTTTGGAATTTTACTAAATTTGCCTTGCATATTCGAACTCGCTCAGACCGTTGAAAATCATTCAGATCCTTGGGTACATAACGAGCGGTAAGCTTCCTAACCTTTCGATGATCCGAGATGATTCGCTGAACAGTCCCATAGCTTAAATCAGTTTACTCCTGCAGTTCTTCAATTGTAATGTAAGGATCATGATCGATTAAAAGGTGAACTTGTTCTATATTTTCAGCTGTAGTTCCACCCTAGTGAAACATCTTGTAAGCAAGATCTTGAAATCTTGGGACCAATAAGCAAGATCTTGAAAAGATTTGGAAAAGATCATATGTATGTGAATATCTTGGTTTTATCGGATAAATCTGCACTAAGGATCTTGTCAAGATCATAGAAGAGACATCATTTACTATTATCTTCTCACAAGATCTTGAGTAAAAGAACGATATTATTAGTATTTATGTGCTAACTAGTCATTCACCGTTCTTTTTATGCATACATAGCCGTATATAAACAACGTGTTTGAACATGTGAAGCATACATTTTCAAAATAAATTTTTTAAAAACTATTTCTCGAATGTTAATTATTCGAGAACATACTGATATCGATCAATCATCGAGGAAGGACTGCCTTGAAGCACTCCAATGGAGATCGAGCCATCTCAAGGCCAGTCAGATTCCAAGGTCTGACTTGCTTCAATTATTTGAGATAGGAATAATTCAAATGAAAATAAATTGAAAGTGTGATAATATGATTTTACAGAAAAAAAAATTCGCTTTATGATAGGTTCGAGTCATAGCTTCAGAATAAATCATGTATTGTATCACAAACCACGACGTACGAAACAGATTTTATCATAATATGTGCCCAAGATCTAATGAATCCATTCGTAAGATCTTATTAATCTGTGCCCAATATCCTAAATATCTGTAAAAAAGATCTTACTTATCTGGACCCAAGATCTGATTCAAGATCTTGGTACAAGATAATATGATTATCTTGTACCTAAATTTTCAAGATCTGTTAACATTTCTGTACCTTGTATCTTGCCCAAGATCTTGCTTACAAGATGTTTGACTAGGGCAGTGATTGACCTTCCAAGTCTTACTTCATCTTCGATTTCTTCTTGCCCTCCACGAAACGATTTAGATCATCTTTGAACTGTTGTAAGAGAAGAAGCTTGATCACCATAAACAGAAGATAATCCAGGATGAATAGCGCCTAGTGGAATGTTAATTTCAGTACGCAATATAATATAGAAGCGAAAGTTTTCTATACTCATCTGAAACAAATAGACACTGTTAAGGCTCAATCCAACTTAATTTTTTTGGTTGTTTCAAAAATATTGCAGCAAACTATACATATATACAAAGAAGACAAGACACGACATATCTCTTAACATATCGGCTTGTCCAAGCGTAACGCGATGACGTTTTGTCCACATTGTCTTCAAATTTTCTCAGCAACGAAATCCCATAGAAATTTGATTTTTTCGTCAAAAGATGTGTCTTCTTAGATACTCTTGGAATCCAGTAAATTTGAGTTTATTTAGCTAACCATTCTGGAAATTATAGCAAAAATACACAACGTTACGCGATGATGAACAAGGGACAGAAATTTGGGGGTGTTATGTTTGTTCTTTGTTTTTCTCCAAATGTATATTATCCTGAACAAAATATTTTATAATAGATTCGTAGAAAACACTTTGGAGTATTAATGTGAGAAATGCTTTTTTGAAAAAGGTCTTTTATTCATGGTGAAACTTTGGTCACACTAACGTTATGCGATGACGAAAACCGAAAAAATATAACCCTTTTCCTGCTATTAAGACATCCACAATATTGAATAAATGTGAGTTAAACCTCGTCTTCTGAAAACTACAAATAGCTTTTACCCATTTCCTCCCTAACTATATCGGGTAATAGTGGTGATACTTAGACCTAATTTTTCAAACTATTGGTATTAGAGTTGACGCGTTACGTGAACAAGCCGATATATGTATGCATAGACGACTAATCACATGGCAAGACGACGAAAAAAAAAGATAAGAGAAAAACAAGGAAAGAATGAAAAGAAAGCAAGCATGCAAGAATGATGATATAATGTAATGCAACCAGCCAGCTTTCAACAAAAACAGTTTTTACCAAGGTTTTTTTATTCTAATATTGAGTGAAGATCGATCAAATAGCTTAGAAAGATAGAGCGAAAGACGCTCTATCTATTCATAAAGAAAGAACAATTTTTTTGCTTACTATAAGAAAATAAGACCTTGACGACACTACTTTTAGATTGCCCTAAGTATTTTCACTGAAATTAATACTTTATATTTGTAAAAACAGATTTATTGCTATGGATCATATTTTGAAGATCAATATGCAACAACAGCTTTTTCTCAATAACATAACGGTCATTATCTGAAAATTCACTATACTTCCTATTTTTAAATTACCCTAGTTAGAATGCGAATGACGTGATATATATCTGATATGCAAGATAGTCTAAAGTATTTTTCTAAGCAGCGATACGTGCTCTTGAATACTTTTTCCATTGTCATGTTCAAGTACTATAATTTCAGTCATTTTTAACAACAAAGGGTAACAATTTGTTAGTACATCTGCAAATTATAGAATGGCGTAGTGGGTTAAATATTTGCGTCCTATAATAGAGAAGAAAAAAAATTTCAATGTAAGTATAATTAAAAAAGAATCTCATTATCTTATTTCTTGCGACATAAATAAGTTCAGAAAGAAAACACACTCTTTACTTATTTTGATCTCGAATAAAATATACATATAATAATTGAAATTTCAATTCAATTATTAATAAATTCAATTGCTAGTATCGATCTATTCAAAAAATTTTCTCATATGTAAGTAATTTTCTTATAAAATAGTCCTCTCTTCAGTTACAATTATAATTCATATAAAGCTATATCATCGTTGTCACAATCTTTTTTTTTATTTCTTTGTAAAACAATATTGTTCTATTCGATATCGGAAGTCTAATTAGTTTTTTTTTTGTATACATAGATCCCTCATTCTGTTTACTGAACATGTCGAACACTACAGCTATAACTAATGCTATCATAGATCAATCAAATCAGATTAAGTATATTATCATGCAAATCTGTCACATTGCGTCTATCCTATGTTCAATTTTTACACTTACTCAGTTTTTACTGAATCGTAATCTTCGATCTGCGCTTCACAATCATGTACCATTGATATTATTGATTGTTTCAATCTTTGATTCATTTCTCAATCATCCTCTAACACTTAATTATCTGCGCATTAGTCAGGTCATACCATCGACCGATGCGATGTGTCTTTATTGGAATTTTATCAATTCGATATTTACTGTTGGAACTTATTGGACAATGGCATGGAGTTCTATTGAACGACATTTGCTCATCTTTTATTCTGGAATATTCGCTACTCGACGTGGTCGAATATTATTTCATTGCATTCCTCTTTTTATGACGACTTTTATCTATCCGATTATCTCTAATACCGTGATCATTCTTTTCTATCCATGTCAAAATCAGTTCAATATGAAGTCGCTCTTCTGTGGATTTCCATGTTCGTTAAAGATTTCGTCTGTGGCGTTGTATACTCGAATCATGCATCAATTTGTACCCATCTTCATTGTTCTTGGTTCTACTGTAGCTCTGATCGTACGAGTGATCAGGCAAAAACAACAAATACATCGAAATCATTTCAATTGGCGCAGATATCGTCGTATGATTATTCAATTGTTAGTCTTAGCAAGTCTTTTTCTCATATTGACATTGCCAGCAACCGCTGTAAGTATTGTACAAAATTGTTGTCTACCAACTTTCGCTGTTACTATACAAGTGTCGTATCTTAATTTTTTGGTTCGATTTATTACTATATTCATGCCATTCATGTGTCTCAGTTTACTACCGGAGATTTGGTCTAGATTACTACCGTGCCACCCTCAAATTCGTCCTATTGTGATTCTTCGACCTCGAACTAATCGAACTTAATAAGAATAAAATTTATTTGATTATTTTATTCGTTGTTACACTGATTAACTGCCGTATTCAGTTACTCTCTTATGAAGAAAAGATCTGTGAACTGTTGAAATCTAATTGCAGATGTAGTGAAATAATTCTGTGTCATATTCAATGGGATATTTGTTCAAATTCTTTAAATTTATTCTACGAAAAATGTTAGTTATTTTATACTCAAACTTCGCTTCATATTCATTGGATGCAATATGCGGAGATGCAACGATGAGAAAATGAAGTACAGGCAGTTTCATAAAATTAGACTTTCATATTCTTGTTTATCAATCAAACCAATGGGATGGAGTAATAGAATATAAGATCCTAACAGCAAGATTTTTAGCGTTCCAAAATCCGAACGGAAAGTGAACTTCTATAACTCTCTATTTATCAAACTTGATCAACTAATCTTTTTCTCAAATCACAGATGTCATTGTGAAATTCATATTTATACAATTTAATATTTCAATTTCTTACGTTTCAAGTATTTTCTCACATTTTATTCAGGATCCTGTTCTAATTTCCATTTACTCAAGGATGACAATTAGTTTGGTATTGATGCATACCTTGGCCCTATTGCAAAGGCTTGTGCCACTATCTTGAGAAGGTGAGAATGAGTTTTATAGCTGCTAAAAGTGCAAGTTGAAAGCATCTTATAATCACCAATAAAATTCAATATTCATTGTTTCGTAACTTACTTTTGTTGTATTTTATCTTGAAGAATAAAAATGAACAGATTTTTATTGTTCTCTGTAAAATTGAAAATATTCAACTAA